AAATGCAGATCGGCATCTTGTCAGTCTCAATTAATCCGGTTTGCGACCAACGACATGATATCACGTCGTGAACGGCCGCTTGGCATTAGGTCACATAGCGTCCCGAGTGGTTGGCACCACCCACCGATTGATTGTATGAAATGAGAATCCTGAGTCATGTCCCCCAGCATTAGGGACAAAGAAACCGATAGCATCATTGACAGGCAAAGTCAAAATATGCGCAACCCTGACCCACTAGCCGAAGCATGGTTAAATTGGTTCCTATTGACCCTTCCACTGGAATCAAGCAAATGATGTAACTCAAGGACGCACCGTTACATAAACCTCGGGATTGTGTGCGAACACGAAGTTGTCTGGAAAAGCTTTCCCCTCCGGCTGGGCCGGCTGGGCAAGACAAAGCCAAGAAGGATTAAGACGTTCTGGGCGGCAAACAAGAGTTGGGTTGGAGAAAACAAAGATACTTCGGCGGTTCTGTTAGGGCATGTGCCTAGCCGAATAGTAAGTTTGGACTATGAAATTATACAACCGCCGGTGCGCTTCGGGAAGCAAATGCTGTCGTATCACATGGTGACGCTCATGATACGGGTGACTTGGGACTGCAGCCATTCCAGCAGCTGAAAAGCTGTTTTGATTGTGACCACATCGGTGCATGCCGTTGTGGGAAACTCACCAATCCGGTCGGGTCATGGCCGATATGCTGGCGTGGATGGGTCTTGTGGAATGAAGCCGATCAATCAAAGTTAGCTCTTACGGTCAGACTTTACCGTAGTGATCCTTGGTTGTGCGGACTAAATGATTGACTGGAATGACTAAATGCGCTAGTGAGCTTGTACCCCGCGGCGAGGACCATGGCTAGAGAGTAAGCACCGAGCCTTCGGCTAGTTTGTTCTCTTTGACGCCGGTAGCGGTATCGGAGAAGCAATGGAAAAGGAATGTGTGTCGGTACCGTTGAGATAGTCAGGAAATGAGCGTGAGAAACGATTAAAATGGTGTCAAAATGGAGAGCTACACACATGCAACCACCGAAAATCTGGAGATAAAGATGAAAACGTGGAGAGGGCTTGGCACGGTCCGGAGTAAAAGCTTGGCGATGTGACGGGTATTAAAGAGAGAGATCAATCCATGGGTAAGCTGAGCCTACCCGTCAGATGATTGAGTCCATGATGATCCGAGCCATCATGCATAGTGCCAGATATTGGTCTTCGCGCAAGGAGTATGCATTCATAACTCGGACCACTGTTCTCTTCCCGTTTTGCAATCCATGGGTCATCTGTTCGACGAGACTTCCATGCTCTTGAATAGGAAATAGGGCCCCCAAGCGTCACCACCATCAGTCCTTACAACCTCATCCCGAGGTCGACGATCGGCACCCACCCCGGCGACAAGGATGGAGAGGAAGTTTTGCGGGGCCCCTCCTTAGCAGTATTTTGGGCGCAGGGCCTTGAATCCTTCTGTTTTGGGCCTTGTCGGAGATTTAAATCGGAGATCTCTCTCCCTCGCTTGCTTTCTGAAAAGATTTTCTTTTTTCTTTTCCCCGAGCCTCCCCCTGTTCCAGTCTCATCTTCCTATGCAAAACTCATTCATTGCTTTCAGTCATCTCTTGTGCTGCCTAGCTGGCTTCTTTCACCATGGAGACAGAAGCTCATGAAAAGCGCCCTGGTGGCAACCACACTCCATCGCCGGACAACGATGAGATGGAACACCTGAGTATAGGAAGATATCTCTGGACGAGACTGCCGACGCTGATACCACCGATGAATCCTGCCCCTAATCCATTTAAGGCGCTTGCTCTTCTCAATAGACAACAATGGCTTTTCTTCTCGGTGCGTCCGCCAACTTTCACCTCTGCCGGGCACAGCTAACCGCCTCTAGGTCGCGTTTCTAGGCTGGTCGTGGGATGCATTTGATTTTTTCACGGTTTCTCTAACAACTTCTCAATTGGCAGAGGCCTTCGATAAATCCGTTTCCGACATCACCTGGGGAATTACCCTCGTACTCATGCTTCGATCCGTGGGAGCCATCACCTTCGGGATTGCCTCTGATCGCTGGGGTCGGAAATGGCCGTTTGTTGTCAATAATGTCCTCTTTATTGTGCTGGAGTTGGGCACTGGTTTTTGCCAGACCTATAAGCAGTTCTTAGCTTGCCGCGCCCTCTTTGGGATAGCCATGGGTGGTCTCTACGGAAACGCAGCTGCAACAGCGCTCGAGGATTGTCCCTTGGAAGCGCGAGGTATCGTGTCTGGCCTGCTCCAACAGGGGTACGCATTCGGTTACCTGCTGGCCACTGCATTCGCTCGGGGATTGGTCGATACCACTCCTCACGGATGGAGACCGCTGTACTGGTTTGGCGCCTGTCCCCCCGTTTTGATTATTCTCTTCCGATTGTGTCTACCGGAAACCAATACATTCCTTCAGCGGCAGGCTAGTCGAGAAAACGTTCGAGGTGGAGTAGCGTCATCCTTTGTCTCAGAAGGTAAAACAGCTCTGAAGCGGCATTGGTTGCTCCTTATTTATCTCGTTTTGCTGATGGCTGGTTTCAATTTCATGGTGAGTCACTGCTCTGGATGACCTACTTTAAGATTTTCTCCTAATATTTTTGTTCACGTAGTCGCACGGATCACAAGATTTGTATCCGACCCTCTTGAAAAGCGAGTTTGGCTTCTCTGCCAACGGAGTGACCGTTACCCAAGTTGTTTCCAACCTAGGAGCTCTCACCGGTGGAACGCTGTGTGGGTGGGCAAGCCAGATCTTTGGGCGTCGGTTTTCTATCATCGTGATTAGCATCGTCGGCGGTGCGCTTCTATACCCCTATACCTTCGTCACCTCAGCCAACGTCATGGCCGCGGCGTTCTTTGAGCAGTTTTGCGTGCAGGGCGCGTGGGGTGTGATCCCCATCCATTTGATGGAGCTGTCTCCTGGAGCAATTCGCACCTTTGCGGTGGGAACGGCCTACCAGTTGGGCAACCTGGTCTCGTCGGCCAGTTCCACGATTGAATCCACGATCGGCGAGCGTTTCCCCCTGCCACCCACCGAGACGGAAAAACATCGATACCAGTATGGGAAAGTCATCTGTATCTTTATGGGCTGTGTGTTCGCCTACACAATTATAGTGACTTTCCTGGGGCCGGAGCGACTGGGCCGCCAATTTGATGTTGCCCATGATACTGATATGGCGGAGGTGGCCGCCCATCGTGGGACGACTACAGTAAAGGAAGGTGCCGAGAGCGATGTGGAGAAAGGCACTGTCTCTCGGACTGAAGGCTAATTACTGCATGTTGGGATTGCATATACGTAATGGTTCGACAGGTGTAGACAGATAATCGAAACTCTATTATTTGGCAAGAGGTGTCGTGTTTACTGTTCTATAGTCCATGGATGGGCTGTATTCACTTTTCAATCCGGCATGAATTCATCCGATCTCTAGCCCGCCCGGTATCTGCTCCGGAGGAACCGAACCCTATTACTATTCGATATGTACGGTTTCATTGTCCCTCATACTAGTCGCTTTGCAAGGCAACGCGAAGACTAGACCTATTGAGAGGTACATAGAAGTCAGTAAGATTTGTTCATGCCCAATACACAACTCAAATGACCTTGTGGGATGGAACGTGGCATCTGAATCTGCTTAATTGTTTATCTTATATGGTCAATGCTCATGAGAATTGGTCACATGGGGGATTTTCTTCATTCGCCGCGGACAAGTTAAAAGGAGCCTTGGAAAGGAACAACCTACTACTTATAGTAGTACACGACGCATCAAACCCCATCTCATCGGAGGTGCTCGAGTAAGGAACGTATGCACATACATACCAGTCGCTCAAGTCGGGGAAACTCCTCCCTTTTTGTATGACGGGCATCTTTTCTTAACAAACCCCACATTCTGACCGTCAAATCATATAAGGTTAAGGTGTCTTACGTTGCTTGTCTTACACCTTGGAGTCGGCAGCGAGAAAATCGCCCTTGATTGGCCTTGAATTATTGATAGGGGCACGGGGATGGCGTGCTCTCTCTGTGTTCTCTCATTCACCAGCCTTCGATCAAACAAACATTATGATACTTCTACAAGATTGATCCCTAGTCCAAGAATAGTATATCTATGCTATGATCGGGAGTGAACTCGTGTCAATCGCACCCTTTGCACCCTTAATCCGTCCCACGAACTAAGGAACGATGACGCTGTCCTGATACCGTATTGAGATACCTTAGCTCTCCCTCGTATCCAATCTGCATGCCTCTATCGCTGATGTACAGTACCAAACTCAATCACTGGGGAAACAAATTACCGCAGGAGCTCTTGTTTGCCCCTTCACTGATCATACGATTGTGTAGAGAGAAAAGTAATTGATTTACAAATTCAAATTAATATGAACCAAAGAGAGAGAATGCCGCGTGCATCCGCCAAGAGGAAGACCGGAAACGGGTTTTCCTTGTCGTTAAGATAGAGTATTGCTTTATCGTGTAGGATCTTAACGTTGCGCTCAACCTCACCCCTTCTTCTCCAGGTTGATAGCTGTTCTTTTTCTTTTTTTCTTTTCTGATTTTTTTTTCCTTATTGTTCTTCCTGGTGATGGTTCTGTTTGATCACTCTCACTTTTCCTGGTGCAGGCACAATTAATTCCCTTACAGTTATACATTCCTTTTCTTCTCCAACCTCGGTCGGCCTGCCGCTCGTTCGTTTCCTCTGGTCTCGGCCTCGTTCCCTAGGGGCCTACGTACTCCGTACTTTGGAAAGGTAAAAAAAAAAAAAAAAGAAAAAGAAAAAGAAAATTAATTAAATTAAGAACGGCGCAACCAACCACCGATCTTTCTACCCCGATCGGTTCATCGGTTTCCCTTCCAATTACTTATCGGTTCGAGATATTGAGCATTCTTTGTCTCCTTGTTTCTTATCCCCTGATTACGTGCCGCTGTCGCTAGACTCGCCCCCCGAAGTCTCCTCCGAACCTGCGATCGATCGGCCCCTGCGTGCTGGATGAGTACGACGACCTCCGCCGCTTCCAATGCACAGACGTTCGTCTGGCTCGCCTGTCGAGGACGACGCTGAAGATTCATTAAGCTCTCGAACTCCACCAGAGCCAAATAATGGTCCCAATGTCGTCGACACGCCGGAAAAATCGCGTTCGCAGGTAGCCCGCACTGGCACCAGCATAGACCTCCGGAGAGACGCCACGGGCGCTTCAACCCCCAGGTCCCGAAATTCGAGCATGTGGAGGACGCTACCATCCTCATCAATCACCTCAGTCTCTCCGGATTGCAAGTCGTCCTCCGTCATCATGCCATTGGCCTCTCAGCGTCTACCCATGGAGGCGTCGCCGGACCATCAGCATCGGTATCGACCGTCCCGCCTCCGCAGTCCGTGGCCATGTTCCATTCTGACAGCCTTCACCACCTTCATCGCTTCGATCTTCCTCTTCTTTATTCTCCGCTCGTTCGCCCTTCGTCAGACTGGTGGAGATGGCTGTGGAGTACCGGTTATGAGTCCGACATTCATTCGCATGGTGGGGTTTGACACGGAACATACGCGCTTTGCCAGCAAATATAATCTCTATCTCTATCGGGAGGGAGGTGTTGATCCATATAGTCAGGAGAACCTCGGGGTACGTTCACTCTGCGTGACCTTTCCCTACCTTCCACCAAATACACTGCTAAACGTCAATGCGATATAGTTGAATGGAGTCCCCGTCTTGTTCCTGCCCGGAAATGCTGGAAGCTACCGGCAGGTCCGATCCTTAGCCGCCGAAGCGTCGAGACACTACTACGATGTTGTTCGTCATGATGAAGATCGGGTGAATGCTGGTACTCGAAGCTTGGATTTCTTCATGATCGATTTCAACGAGGATATGGCTGCCTTCCATGGACAAACTCTACTCGACCAAGCCGAATACGTCAACGAAGCCGTGGCATATATTCTTTCGCTTTATCATGATCCGCGACGTTCGCGAAGAGATCCGGAGCTACCTGATCCGAGTGCAGTTGTCCTGGTTGGGCACTCTATGGGTGGCATCGTTGCGCGAACAGCGTTAACAATGACGAACTACCAAGCAAACTCGGTCAATACGATTGTTACCATGTCAGCTCCCCACGCGAAACCCCCCGTCTCGTTTGACTCGGATATTGTTCAGACCTACAAGCAAATCAACGATTATTGGCGGGAGGCCTACTCGCAAACCTGGGCCAATGACAATCCTTTGTGGCATGTGACACTCATCTCCATTGCTGGCGGTTCGCGCGATACTGTTGTGCCTTCTGATTACGCTAGCATCTCTTCCCTTGTTCCTGAGACCCACGGATTTACTGTATTCACGTCCACTATTCCAGATGTTTGGATCGGCATGGACCACTTGTCCATCACCTGGTGCGATCAATTCCGAAAAGCCATCATCAAATCCTTGTTTGAAGTCGTCGATGTCCGACGCGCAACACAGACGAAACCGAGGGCAGAGCGCATGCGGATTTTCAGGAAGTGGTATTTGACTGGAATGGAGACTGTAGCAGAGAGGACGCTTCCACGAAAGGGTAATATTTTCCAGTCACTTGGTTTTGCTAATGGCTAACTTTCTTTAAATCAGAGCCTAATACTCTGTTGACACTGGAAGATCAGTCCAACACAATCTTATCGCAAGGCAAACGGCTCATTCTTCGCGACTTAGGCCATCGCAGGGGTCCGAACGTGCACTTATTGCCGATTCCTCCGCAAGGCGTATCCGGAAAGAAGTTCACCCTTCTTACAAACCAGCAATTTGATAAATCCGGGGATAATGGGAGCCTAGAGGTTTTGTTCTGCAGTGTGTTCCCTCTACAAAATGGGAAACCTGCAACGGCATTTTCGATGAACATGGACTTCTCCGGAGGTACCTCAGGTTCAACTCGTCTCGCCTGCAAGAACGCCGCCGAAGATGGAATCCACTTGCCGGCGTCGACACCCTCCTCGAAGCGTCCTTATGACCGAGTCCAGCCCTTCTCTTACCTCCAGTACGACCTGGAGGATCTTGCAGAGCACCAGTTTGTAGCGGTCGTAGACAAAGCAAACTCGCCCACAAAGGGCTTTGTGTTGGCCGAATTTTCAGATAGCTCGGACTCTGTGATCAGGGCTCGGTTAGGTTTGGGTAGCCTCCTTAGTGCCGGGCTGAAGGTGCGTCTACCGGCGAACCGCCCCATGCTCACGGAGCTACACATTCCGGCCGTGCACTCGAGTCTGCTAGACTACAGGCTCAAGATCGTCCGAAAGAATCACGGGCAACAGCAGGAGCTGTTTGCTCCCCTTTTGCGACAGTCTGTCGCAGATCCGCATGAGTCTAAATTTTTCGTCAATGTCAAGGATGTCAATGTGAACTTGCATGGTCTGGCACCCTTCATGCCTCCACCCCTCCGAGAGCAAGCGACATTGGGTGGTGTTTCTTTTCACCTTTGGACTGATCCGAGCTGTGATTCCACGATTGACATTTCTTTATCGGTGGATATTGCTAGTAGTCTCGGGGAGCTAGTAATGCGGTACCGGACCGTGTTCGCTGCATTTCCGCTCCTTGTTGTTGCCCTGGTCATGCGTAAGCAATTTCAGGTGTACGACGAAACGGGCTATTTCATCACATTCGCCGAAGGTCTGGACAGTGCACTGCGATCATCCCTTCCCATGCTCCTTTTAGCTATGTCACTGCTAGCATCTTCCCTGGCGACATCTACAAAATTGCCGCCTACTGACGACCCGTTCCATTGGCGTACGAACTCCACTGAATCCCCAGTTGACTTCACCAAGAACGACCTCCTCCTGGGCTCGCAGGACGCTTTTTTCTGGTTCCTAGTGCCTGTTTTCGGCCTCATTAGCGTTGGAGTGTGTCTAATCATCAACTATGTAGCTCTTGCTTTAATCTTCCTTCTCACTACCCTCTATGGGTTTCTTAGAAGCAAGTCGGGCTATATTCGACGAGATGAGAAAGGGTGCGTCACATTACTCCTACATAGTTTCACCTGCTAACTCCACATAGAAACCTCCCTATCTTCTCTTCTGCAAGTCCCAGAAGACGGCTGGTTAATTCAGCCATTCTATTGGCTCTCGTGTCGACTGTCATTCCATATCAATTCGCATACATGGTGGCGTGCATTGTGCAGTTAGCTACTAGTGTCCGGGCCAACTGGCATGCGAAAGAAGCTGTAAGCTTTCGTTCCTGTTCTCGTCTATCCAACAATGCTAATAGGTATCAGAAATCCACAACCCACTATAACTTCGCCAACTTTGCTTATTCGATCTTCCTCCTGATGCTGTGGATTCTGCCGATTAACGCTCTGGTTCTTCTTGTCTGGGCTCATAATCTGGTTGTGCACTGGTTTATGCCATTCTCATCGCATCACAATGTGCTATCGATAATGCCATTTGTTCTCCTCGTGGAGGCCATGACTACTGGAACTATGATTCCACGGGTAACCACACGGTAAGCCTCCAAGCATTAAGCCACAATCGGACGGCAACTGATGGCTATAGGTTTAAACATGTCACCTCTATGCTCTTCTTTTTTATCGCCATCTACTCAGCAATCTACGGCGTCTCGTACGCCTACCTCCTCCACCATCTCACTAATATCCTCGCCGCCTGGCTAGTGGGAATTTACTTCTCTGCCAGCGGATTCTCAATCTCACGACTGTGGCGGGTCCTAGAGGGGGACGAAGCGGTCCAGAACCCTGCAACAGGAAGCCACACGAAGAAAAAGCCATAAAAAAACCCCCTCGCCATTTTACACTTTCCATTATTATCTGTTCTCTATTCTTTGTTGCATTTTCAGGTTTTAAGACACATTTTTAAACGGAGTTCACACCAGGGACGGTGTTTCGTTTGCCGAAGAATCGGCCTGTACAGGATCTTTTTACTTATTTGATATTTCCACCCTTCTAGTCGAGTGAACCAGACAATTCCGTAATGTGAAATGTTCTCGGTATCAACTCGACTCCTCTCCGTACAGGCATCGCTACATCGTTATGATTAGCTACATCTGTCCCCCACCTTTCTTTATCTCTTTTTCTTTTCTCATCCCAACGTCTGTATATACGGTTGGATCTGGATATAGATCAAAGGTGTCTAGAATATATATACATAATTACCTCGTTTATGATGATGACATGCTTAAATTCTTCTATCCACAAATTATTTTACTGAATTAACGTTCACCCTCTTGATGGTTTTTTAAGACTGTAAATCCTGATTGAATAGATCGGTTTGCGAAGAGCACTAGATTTGATTTCTTTCCAATCATTATACAACCAAGATTATACCATCCATATCTATCAGAACTTTGCAGATCACAATCATATGACCATATATTCCCATATTATGTTACACGCTATAATACATTTGACCCAAGGGTCTAACAGCCCGGCAATAATGAAGATAATCACATCAAAACGGGCCCAACCCGCACCCTCTCTCTAGCCCTAAACGCCTCTAGTTCTTTAGCTCTCTCGTCCTCTTTCCGTCTCCGACCAGCCTGCTTCTCGAACCTCTTCTTTCCCCCGTGCTTCAGCTTTGTTATCAAATCTGCCGCCTGGCCCTTTGTTAAGTGCTCCGGCCGGAGTGCATCCCTCCGTATCTTAGCTTTATTGAGGAAGCTCAACTGTGCCCAGGTGGCAGGTCGACGACGCCAGGGTTGTAGAGCAGAGATATACAGATCTTCGAACTCGGAGGCGGCGAAAGTGTCGGCTGCGTGGACGGCGGATTCCAGGTCCGGGCTAGTGGCTATCAACCGGGGCCGGGTGTATGTGTTTTTCTCTGTGGTGGGGTTTTTGTATACCCTGACGTGGTGGACTGTCCAGGCTGGTTGTTGGGGGCTATTGTTTGGGGATGTAAGGTATCCATCGGTTGATTTCTCGATTGTGACCCAGCCGGTTGCGTCGGAGAGGAGGTATTTGTTCTCGTCGATCCGGACCCAGGCGTTGCGGCTTGATGAGCGGATGTATTTTTCGGATTTCATGTCCATGATTAAGTCGTAGATTGTGTCGTATTTGGTGAAGGTAAGGTTTATGTCGTCTAGTATGTCTGGGTCTGGGGAGTTATCTGGGTTTGCGGGTGGGGGCGAGTCGCTTTCTTTGCGTTTGAGATCTTTGCCGTTGGCGTTGTCTAAGACTTCGTCTGGATGGAGACCAAAGAGGGTGGGTGTGGAGAGAACTCCGGTTTCCAGGGTTGCGACCATGTCAATGATGTGACAGTCCTTCTTGCCTGGGTGAAGGCGGAGTCCGCGGCCGATCATTTGGATGAGTAGGTTGCGGGAGCGAGTCGGTCGCGCGAGTAAGACGCAGTCAATGTTGGGGATGTCGGTGCCTTCTGTGAAGAGGCCACAGTTCAAGAGAACGGGATATTCCTGGTTCCTGAAGCGGTGGAGCTGGTCGTCGCGGACTTCCTTTGGTGTCTTGCCGGTGAGATAGCGGGCGTCGACGCCGGCAGCGCGAAAGGTCTCAGTGAGCTGCTTTGTGTGTTCGACATCGACGCAGAATACTAAGGTTGATTTTCTCTCTTGGGCGTTTGCCAGCCAGGCGCGCACTGCGATGTCGTTCGTTCTGTCGGTGTTCACTGCTTTTGAGAGTGAGCCGACGGCGAAGTCACCAAAGCTATCCTTCTTCACGCGGGACAGGTTGACTTCAGATTGCACAGTGGTGAAGACTGCGTTGGCTAGCCATTCCTCGTCGATCATGTCCATATAGTCTTTGTGGTAGACAATGTGGTCGATGGCCGCGCCAAGTTTCAAGCCATCGGCTCTCGATAACGTTGCCGACACGCCGACAAGCACCGGCGAGTCGTCTGATGTCTCGTTCAGTCCGAAGTATTTGAGCACTTCTCGGTATGACGGCGCGACTATGTGGTGAGCTTCGTCCACGAGGACGAGTTTGAACTGCTTCGGGTCGAATTTGGCTATACGGTCTCCATTTGTCAAACTCCGAATGGATGCGACGACGATGTCTGCTGCCGGTGAGGCTTTGCTCGTGCCCATTTCGATCTCGACAGTTCGATCGGGGTAGGCAAGACGGCAATGCCGAGCGGCCTGTTCGACAAGTTCGCGCCGATGGACGAGAATCAGGGTTTTATTGTCTCTTTCATTTCGCGGGGGTATGCGGCCGATGAGTTGTGTGAAGATCACCTAGTGAAAGATATCGTTAGCAGAATACGATTCTCAATAGTGTGTAAGCTCATACAAACCGTTTTTCCAGCACCCGTTGCAAGTGAAACTCCAAGGCGCTTATGGCCCTGATCCAAATTATCAAGCACCGATTTGATGCATTCTTCCTGGTAATCTCTAAGGACTATAGCGGGCGACTCGCGCGCAGCGGGGACAGCGGTAGAGCTGAGGCGCAAGTGGGGTTTTTGAAAAGGGCCAAGCCCCCAGTAAGTCCTATGAGGTCTTAATAGGAGACGCGAAATGGGAAACCATCCCAATTTCCTACGAATACACTCCATCCAGGTACCGTAGGACTTAGTCGATCGTTACGTAGTTGACCTGCCGCAGCCGTCCCGATAAGTTCATCGGAGAAGCAAACAGTGCAAACACACCTTATCAGATAGAAATATTTCTACGGATTCCCTTCGAGGTGTCGCATTCTTCTCACTGCTTTTTCCAGAGGTTCTCGATTGTCGACTTATACGATGTTTAATTAGTCGGTCAATGCCGGGCATGTTTTCGCCATTTTTCCAGAGTCCATGTCAATGGTGTGCCCCTCTGGACCTCCAACCCGACAATGAGCAGTTCAAGCCTTTACGAGCCAGAGGAAGATAATGAAGCATCTGACTCCGATATCGAGACGGGAAATACGGAGTTCACAGAACCTCCCTCCTCCTCTCCTCCTAGTCGCAGAACCAGATTGTCTTCTCCTCCCCAGCTCGATGGAAGGTCCTCATCCAGACCGGCGCAGACGCGCAGAAGGGTTTCTCGCATGCAGATGCTGGAGCATCTACAGACATCGTTGAGCAAGGAATCAGTGGAAGCATATTCTAATCTACTTACGCAAACGACTGACGACTACGTTGAATCGAAGCCCGACAGCGAAAACTACCAATCTACCCAAGCCGGGATCGTGTCCTGGGCGCCGAAAGAGAAGGAAATATTCTTCAACGTCCTTGACAGAAAAGGGAAGGATGGTATCCGCGATATAGCCAGTGCGATTGGTACGAAATCAGAGCTGGAGGTCCAGGAATATCTCCGACTCTTGCATAGGCGACTAGAATGGCAGCATATGAAGGAACAGCACAGCAGAGCAATCGTCCTAGGTGATGTGCCCGCGGCGGAGGAGGTAAGCAGCGAATGCTGCGACGTCCTTGATGAGTACTCAAAGCTACTGGTACTCAAGGAGCAGCAAGATGAGGATGTTGCCGGAAGACAGACACATCATGATCTGTGGATAATAGATCGAGACAAGGCAGAACTAGTAGAAGAACTAGAGTCGCAGGATCAAAAATCCACACCCAGCTCAAGTGTTTACCACACGGCCAGTCTACTCAACATCCCGAGGTGGATCCGGCTCTCCGAGCGCTTGTTCATGAACTTTGGGGGCACAAGACTAGAAGATAACTGGGTGAACATAGCTTACGCGGGTGAAGCACCGGCGATAACTGCCGACGCGTTAGCTGAATTCTATACTCTCACCGTAAGCGTGACGCGCCGTTTGATTCAGTCAACTCTCTTTTTTGCCATGTCAAGGCTACGCAACATGAGAGATACGGGTAATAGCAAGGCCAAGGTAGTCAAACCACGAGATGTTAGGACCGCGCTGGACGTGCTGCAAATGAAACGAGACGGATTTGACTACTGGGCTGGCGTAGCACGGCGGTGCTGTTTGGATGTTTCTGACTCTCGACATCGAAAAGGATGGAAATCCGTTCGCCTGAGCCATGACGAGGTAGAAGATATGTTGTCCAATAGGATACCCATCGACGCAGAATCGAATCGGAGCACGTCCAGGCAAAGGTCAGAAAGCAGGATGCAAGGGAACACAGATGGCGAATACACGGACAGCGATGAGGATAATGCAAGTGACAGTGGGAGCGAGTTCAAGCCCGAACGTTCCCCGGTCCCATCCGCACTCTTATCAACAGAAGTCTCCAGCGATAAAGATGAACTCCCATCAGACCCTGAAAATCAACATGCCGAGCAAGAAGACCAAAGAGCCAGTTGTCTTGGGGAATTAGAACTTTGGGAAGCTTTGCACCGGCCAGCACCGGCTTTTCTCATTCCCACCAAGGAAGAAGATCGGGATAATAAAATACGCAAACCAATTGGAGAGCGCAAAACACAACAAGAGCTTGCAGATTGGCGTGAAAGGACACTGTATCGAAATGATTGGGAGGAGTATGGTCATGAAGTTTATGATATTTATGAAGAGATATCAGAGAAGCGACGAAAACGAAGGCGTCTTGACGAATCCCGGGATTCTTCACCTGTCTCAGTCGATGGCGAAAACAACCAAACAGATGGACTCAGAATCGAACCAACCGCTGGTGAATATGATGAGGACGTAAGCCCAAGTGAAGACGACCACGAAGACATAGAAATGGGCGAATCAACTGCCCCAGGCCAAACCGCCACCAACCCCCAAGATGAAGAAGAACCTGAGGAGCGCGATTCAGGTCCTGAAATCAACCATGCCCAACACAAACAAACAGCCCTCAACCCCAATCCAAATCAGAAACGAATGAACGAATTAGACTCACCCTCACCCGCCAACACAAACCCCGGGCACCGATCACCTATACTAACGCGTCGGAGGCGCATACAAGCCGAGCTCAAACAGGACGAAGAAAGCTCCTCTTCTGGCTCCGATGACGACCTTCCTGCACCCAGGGAATATCCGTCCTCAGAACAGGACGACAGGGACGGCATGCCACTATATTCACAGCCGATGAGTCCGGCTGACTGGCCCAGCGATTGATTGGACATCTATCCATTTATATTTGCTACATAGTGTGGCCCCATTTTTTCGATCCCAGGCTTTGTATGATATTTTTTGTATGATACCACATAAACATGTTGGTCACTAGACATTTGGCACGGGAAATAACAATTTAACGATTTCATTCCACCTTGAACTAAATAAGGTTGAAGTAGATGAACGCGGCAAATACTCTAACTCCAGAACAGTTGCGCCTTTTCCTAGTTGAGCAGCAAGTCAATAATAACCCCAAACCCCAATCATTCATCCATCAATCAATCACCCAAACAGCCTCTGCGAGGTGGTGCACCTCCAATCTTTTATCCTGGTATCTGGTCCTTCGGCCCTAGAATATTTATGGTACAATACATGGATATTATAAATGTTAACCTGCGAACGTCCCTGTTGCATCGTAAGAAATGTATTTCATTTTTTTTGAAGATGTTTTTCCATTTATGCATGCCATTGAAGGAAGCTTCCACCCTTTACAGGTCCAGGGTCTTGTAGTCAGCACCTGCCTCCGCGCTCAAAGGCTGTACGCCAGCCCGTGCATCACTGCCTGCAGGCTGGAAGTTGAAGCGGTTCCCGATTCCTGCCGTCGCAGCCTCACCAAGGATGTTGTTTGCGTCCTCGCCGGGTCCCTTCAGGCTAACCGCTTGCAGGGTATCCTGGACCTCCTTTACACGCTTCTTGAAGGCCATCCGGTCCAGGAAAAGCTGTTGACGAGCCAGTTCGAGTTCCCGGCGTTCGGCCTCAATGATCTCTTCCATCTCATTGAACTGCTGCAGCTTAATCTCGAACTTTTGCAGAGTGACATTGACGGCAGCAGAGACTAGGCGGGTCATCTCCCGTTCCTCGTGAGACGCAAGAGCACCGGCACGAGCTGCTGAGGTGGCGAGTGCAACTGTGGGCAGAGAAGCCTTGGACTGTTTATCAGAGCTGGAGGTTTCTACAACCTCGGCGGTGGAGGCATCTACATCCATGGAATCCTCCGTCTTCACTCCAGAACCCTCTTTTTCCTTGCCCTTCTCCTGACTCTTGTCAGAGCCCTTCTCGAGCTGCTTCCGAAGTTCCTTACGGATCTCATCCACGGAGCGACCCGCCGCGGCAGCGGCCACGGCAGGTTCTGCCATCTGTGCCAAAAAGGCGACTACCGACAGAACGGGGTTCTCAGCCTGGCTGATGGGCTCTCGCCCACCGGCGGTCCGCATATCGGGCAAATCCTCAACATATTTGTCCTCAATCTCCAGTTGCAGGAACTTCATCACACATTCTTCCTTCGTTCTAGTGCCGACATGGTTGGCAATCTGCTCCCAGTTCTCATCGAAATTCTCCAGTCCTTCAAGGAGCAGTACAAGTTCAGAGTCAGACCAAGGAGCATCCTTGTCCGGAATCACTGAATACGCATTGTCTTCGAGCTTAACGAAATCGGAGGCACTATGGCTGGAAGGCATGCGGCCTTGTAAGAAGCAGTTAGGGCAAAGGTCATACTTCGAATCCGGGGCTGATGCGTTAGCGGTGGCTGGAGTCGACTTTGCATAATGGAATCTGAGTCGGGTACAATCGATGCCGCATGAGAAGCAGTGGAACTTCTTTCTGGGTTCTTTGGAAGCGGTTTCCATCGCTTTCACCGCGTCACCCGTCGCACCGTTGGTGGAGCCGTCGCCATTTGTCTGCTTCTCCTTGTCCTCAGCAGCAGGAGTGATCTCCTTACCCTTATCATCATAGACATTGCGACGAATTTCGAGGTTAAGGTCAGCCTTTGATGCTGGGGCAGCTGAAGCTGCACGTTCAGTGGCCGGTAGAGGCTTTCCGGGCTTGACAAAATGGTTTGGCCCGGGTTGGAAGGGTTGAAGGCCGCGGGGGGTATCAGCAATGACTCGGAAATGACCTGTGAAGGGAGGACCAATATTTGACGGACGGGTTTGAGGATCAACCTTAAAAGCGTTAGCAACTAAGTATTAATCAAGACCAATAGTTACTCACCTGGTAGTTGATCAAGCCCCACTGTTCCAAGAATGAGTGAACACGCATGATCGCGCACACATCTCCAGCAAGATTACGACGGCATGCGGTGACTGTGAGATACTCGATAGGGTTCAGTCTATAGGTGTTGATCATGAAATCGCGATAATCTTTATAGACTGCAGGTGTTTTGCTTCGGTTCCTGCCATTGAAAAACTCTGCGAGGGCCTTTTTCTCGATCGGATGGACGGTGTGCATGTCGAACCACGTGGAGTAACTGGGAAGGATAATGGCATGTGTTTGCGAAACAAGATGTGAGCGCGCCGAAGATTCGATCGACGACTTGCCTTGTCCAGACTGATCTTCTGTAGCACCTTCGGCACCTGACTGCGCAACGCCGTCTGCATTTTCTTCAGCGCCTTCGCTTTCTTTCTTTGGTTCAGTCTCTGTGCCGCCCATCTCCTCATCCTCCGGTTCGCCTTCGGTGTTCTGAGCTTTGGGTGAGGCCGGGGCGTCTAAAGGATTATCAGTTCCTGAAACATTCAGTTTCTTATCTTCTTAAGACTCTTGACGCGATTGCGATTTGGGGCATAAGATTGCGGACGTTGACAAACTCCGCATTTTATTAGGGGAGGGAGGTTAAACCCACCGGAAGGGTTAATCACTTCGCCTGGAGCATCTTGGGTCGCAGTCGCGGAGTGGATGTCATCGACAGCGCCGCTGGAAATGACGTTGCTCTCATCCATGTTGATAGAATGGTAGTCAAAGAAGGATATGGAGGTCGCAGGCAGCGGAGCAAGGGTCTCTGCTTAGAAGGCCAATGGAGGCGAGTGACAGGGTGCGGATGCAACCCTTAATCAACTGGTTTATCAATAAGTGTGGCAAGCTGAGCCTCCGGGATAAATAGCGGAAGTGACACCAAGCGGAGAAGCAATGAGGTGACGATGAGGAGGATGGCTTAGTAGCGGTGCAACTGTCGCGACACGGCCATCGCTCCAAAAGTTCGCGCCAAGAGCCTCAGACACGCTAACCACTTCTGGAATAGGCGTTCTCTCTCAGCTTTTACGGAGTACTATGCCCTGCTTCCTACTTCCTACTACCTATTCCAAGTATGATCTATCTACTAGTAGGATTCTAGAGCCACTTTGACCGATTGCCTTCTTTCATGTAACTACTGAAATGATGAAGTTTTCGTGTTACATCTGTACGGTCTTGAGTTACTTTTTCTTCGGCAGAAATGGACCACCAGACTTATATACTACTAGTTTACCCAGAAGGTCTCGACCACGAACCATAGCATCATGGATATTATCAATTTATTAAATATGTAGTGCAAGTCCGAATGCAGATTTCATATTCCTTCTTTTGAGCAAGAACCCGCTAGCTCTTCTAATCACCTCTCTCCCTCTCCCTTCAAGGATGCGTCATTTTCGAGGTTGCTTCAGCCTTCTCTACCAACGCTTTGGCAATGGCAGGCCTAGCTTGATTCTCTCCAGCCAGGCATTCAGATGAGGAAAGTCCTTCTCCAGATCAAATGCATCTCCGGTGATCCAGGGGATGATGCCGAACCAAGGAACGAAGGAGAGGTCGGCATAGCTGTACTTGTCGCCGACCAGATACTCACGGTCCGCAAGAACATTGTTCATCGTTTCCGACACACGACGGATTTCGTTGACATAGCGCAGCCGGGCGCTTTCGATCTTCTCGGGGTGGTAATTAGTGAACCACACTGCCTGGCCGAAGTATGGACCCTGGCCCGACATCTGGAAGTGGAGCCATTGCTTGGCATGGAAGTATTCCGGAGTGCCGGCTTCGAAGCTGAACTTCTTCTCTTTGTCGTAGGTTTCTATCAGATATTCGAGGATAGCACCCGACTCCCACATGGTGATTCCTGTGTTGGGATCCTCGATGGCGGGAACACGGCCGTTGGGGTTGAGCTTGAAGAAGGCCTCACCCTTGATTTCTGCGAATTGGAGATACTTGTATTCGTAAGGAACATTGAGTTCGTTGAGGAGCATGGCCACCTTCCAGGGGTTGGGGCCGGCGGAATGGCCGTGGAGGATAAGAGGCTGAAGAGACATCTTGACTAGGTACTCTGCTGGGGGGAATAGGGACAATTGTTGCCGTGTATTGAAGGAAATTAGGGTAGTGGTTTGTAGCAATGTCGCACGGCGATAGATGTAGCCAGAGAGGCGTGAGGTATATGCCTCTTTAAATAGGATCGCACGATTTCTGGATAGGTTGCGGTCACTCGGCAGTGAATATTCAGCATCCACTCAGATCTGTATGAATATCATGAAGTCGGATGTTTCACCGCATAAACGCCCGAGCGCTGACAAATGCACTTTGGGGAAGACATAGAGTTAGCCTTTTCGTTGGCCTTATCGATCGTAATGCTACCCACATTGACCGGTTATTGGCGGAGAGTATCCATCGACGTCTCACACCGAATGTTATCGAATGAAGCCGAATCTGTCATCGGTTGTGGTTGAGTCCAATTGCTGCTGACTTGTCCCATTTGCTTTGTAATCAACTCTGAGACCATGGATCTACATGGTATTAGCCTGAGGTCCTGGCAGATGATGCAAAGTGAGAGTTGTTTAATGAAACCTGGCATAGGGTCTATTCTTAATATCTTTGCGCTTTTCAGGTGCAGGTGTTGATTTGAGGGTGAGCTTTGGATAACACTTAACACCAACCCGTTTCTCTAGGCACGTCTTGGCAACGATCCTTGACGGCAAGAGGTATTGTTAGAGAACTAGCATTCAAAGAGGAAGCTAGCCATGTAGTTATATTTTCTTCCTCTTCTTCTTTTTTTATTTGCGTCTTCTTGCGAAGTGGAACCGAAGATGTGATGTAGTTGTTCAGCGGAGTTGGAATTATATATAAATATATAAATCTGACCTACGCTGAAATACCAACCAATCACAACTCTAGTATACACAACAACACCGGCACAAACACGTACAGCTATAAAAAAAGAAGTGGCCAATTCAACACAAACTCATGGCATGTATGTAGTATTATGTTATGCATGCATGAAATCTGCTGAGGACGAACCCAGCAACACCGAGTGGGCTACACACTTTCAACTCCGACTTCTGACCTATTTTTTTCTTTCCCCTGTCTACCATTTGCTTGTTCAGTCTAAAATTATCTCATAGTTCTTAATTAATCAGCTCAGCTTTATTGTCAACTCTTATCCCGAGGCCCTCATAGTTTTTCACACCAACTCCCGTGTCTTTCTTTGACGGTGATCGGAATGAAAACTTCGACGTCGGAGTTCGGAATAGCGACATATATCGGAGTACGCCAAGACCACGATCGTTCTGGCCATACAGCCATAATAGACTATTCTATACACTTGTCTACACTCTAAACATATCCAGTAACCGCGATGATTGAAGCCATATGCTGAAATTCTAGATCCTGACGTATGCAGCCATGGAAACCCGAGGCCTATCCTGAGTCACGCCGAATCCCACCAATGACGGACAACCGCAAAGCAGACAAACAAACTCTCAATGAATGGATGGTTATGACTCCAGATCCAAATTTCTCGGCAAGTGGAGTCGAGGCCCGACTGTCATAAAGGATTTTGAGGTAGGGCACCCGTTTTGGTTAAATGAGTATACAGAGTATGTCATTGCAGCTACTTGCTCCAATTTCTTGGTAAAGAAGAGAAAGACAAGACGATGGCTCCATCGCATGACATACTCACTTAACCAAAACGGGTGCCCTACCTCCCAGCTCCCACCCCGGCATCCAAACAAAGACAAAAAAAATACGAAACGACCACCACCTCCCCCAACTCTAAGCGAGATTCTAGACTATATTCTGAGTAATTCGGATTCTACCCGAACAAATTCACCGACTTCGTGTTGTTCACGCCCTTCGCTCCTTGGTATACCAGAAGAGACTGGTCTTGTGGGGTTGACACGAGCGGCCATGACGCATTTTCGGTATATCATCAGGCACTCAAGCCACCTGTGGATCCCTTTCTGAGAGTGAAGATTGAGTGTGCTTGGTTGGATTAGATTGCTAAGCCTTACAGCTAATCGTTGTGGTGGGTCATGTCCTTGCTTTGGGGCCTTTTATTTTTTTTCTTTGGTTGGGGCTTAGTGTTGTACTCCGTATGGCGTCGGAGTAAAAATGCGTAGTACGGTACGGAATGGAATATAGGGTATGGAGGAGGGAATTGACTGGATTTGGAGGGTACATATAGACCGGACAGGATCTTGTCTGGCATTGCCTTCATTTTATCATCAATCACTGGTTACTTTCACTTGACCAAACAATATCGAGTCATTGTGTATTGAAATTACTGCTATATCTACTCCTCCGAGTCTCCTTGCGAACTATATAAACCAAGCCAAACCAAAGAACAATCACTACCATTCCTCCACATAAACCAACCCTCCCAAAAGTCTCCTACCCCAAAGTGAAAACAATGGCCTTCAAATCCACCAAGTCAACCACCACCGTCTCAGACGACGCGGCATCAACCCGCTCCTTCCTTTCCACAACAACAACCTTAAAGGGCACCGACGCCGAACCCACTAAGAAGAAATGGCTCTCTCTGAAGAAGACAGAGAAGACGGATACCGCCCGGCCAAAGCACACTGAAAAGTCCACGAAAATGCTACACTATGAGGCCATGGCTACCTACCTTGCGTATCGATGAAGCTTCAAGGTGATATATCATCGTTGGATCGAGTGAACCATCGAATGGATCTAATGCTGAGGATACATGATAACTCAATTGATGGCGTACCGTACCCTTCCTGCCTGGTGCATCTTGGGGACTTCGCTTCGTCTTGCTCTTTTGTTGGGAAAATTGGCGTTTGGGATGGAATATTAGATTGCATGATGCGCTGTGTCTACGATTCTGAGCGCTTTGTTTGAGATCGAGTTCTTTGTTCCTGATGTTTGGTTAATATTATGTATTGGGATGTGGTGATCGGCCTCTCTGCAGAGGGCCGTGGGCTTAATGGGTTATACTTGCTATTTTATGATTGGGATACTAAATATTTTTTATTCATCTAAATGGAAGATGGGCATACCTTGGCAGCCATGCAGTACATCGGCAACTTCAAGACATTACTAGCAAGTTTTCTATGAAAGCAGAGTTTAGAGCTATCATCCCGTCATGACTGTTTCGTATTAAGGCTATGTAGTAAATCCTTAAGCGTCCGTGTTCTATAGTCCCGCTAGTAACTCGCTCATTGAGATAGGCTTTCGTACGGCATTCGAGAATCCGTCATGATACGTCACCCAAACCTTCCTGCCTGCCTTTGAAGCCTCATTCTGCGCTGGATTCTCGTGTGAGCTCCCTGGTTGTGGCGAAGGCTCGCGGATTATCCGTCCAAAAAAGTCACGTTTGACACCAGCTTCCCGGCCTGATCTTTTTACCCCCCGCCCATCATCCTGTGCCTGGCCATCTGCAGACTTGCGGGCTGATGTGTTGGGGCCAGTAGTCGAACTCAATGCTTCGGTTTGTTTTCGTACCGTCTCCTTGCGGTACTCCTGGTCAAGGACTTGGCGAACAGCGTAACGAACTGGTGCGGCACTAGTTGTCCCTGATGATGATGAATGCCCTTTGGTTTTCGAGAATGTTACAAGTGAATCCAATGGACTGTTAAATGGTTAGCCTGGAAATCTCGAAATGAGATCTAGATGCAGCGGTGTAACATACGGCTCCATGCGATATGCCCACCCTCCGTACGCCCCGCCCTCGCCCTCTACTCGCACCTTTTCGAATGTCACACCTAGTCCCGCCATAACACGGACGGCTGCCTGCACGAGAGCCCGCTCGCTTTCTTTACGCACACTGGCCGTGCTCTTCTGTTCCCCGCTTCCCCGTACAACAACTGGTTTTACATCAGGCGACAACATCCGCATGAGGTTCGGGACGAGGTCAGTGACCAGACAATCGGTAGCCCGGAAAAGCCGTAGCATCGGAGCAGCTAACGAAGATTGAAAACCATTGACAATCGCACGGTTCTGCTTCAGAGCCTCATGGGCTGCAAACTCTGCCCTTGGCCCTGAGAAAGGATGTTCCTCCTCTTCCTCTTCGTTAAGCTCATTACGAGTGCGCTTGCCATAGGCGGAAGCAAACAAATGGTGGAAAGCGACCACAGACTGGCTGAGGTACGGAGTGAGTTCCCAATCCTGATTAGAGAAGACTTTAGATGAGATAGTATCATGGAAATGCAGCCAGTCATAGGCGTTGTTGGGCTTGGAGAGGAATGTGTCGTCCTGATATGTCTGCAGGGGATATGAAGTGAAGCACTCTGTAACGCAGCGGTCATAATCACCACTAGCATCAACCATCTCTCGTAGTCTGTTAATAGCATGGCGCTTTTTGAGGTCGGCCACACCCACAGGAGTTTTCGCGTTGTCATCGAAAGGGTCACGGAAAGATTCGGCGTTGATAGGAACATCTGCAAAACCGGCTCCTTGCGTGAATACACGATCGACAATGTCGCGCACGCCTCCACGGTTTAGGCCTTTGAAGAATGAATTACCACCTGCAGCCTCACTCAGGACATTCTGCTCAAGCCATCTTCTCGTCAATCGCATAGACTCTACGCTCTCGTATTTCAGCTTATGGGCCACCCATTCTGCAGCGACAAGGACACTTCGAATATCACCTTCCGCTGTTCCGCTGTTTTTGGAGTTGGCTTGCTTCCTTCGGGCAACGCCCCATGACGCTTCACATAGCCTTCTCACTCCATCATTATCGGCGGGGATGCCTTCCAAGTTGAAGATGCCCCTCATGCGCGAAACCACGTTCTCCAAGGGTGCTTGGCGCACATGGATCATTTCAGCAACAGAAGACGCCCTCAGTGGCCGAAGGCTGGGGTGGTATACATCGTTGCACACCAGAATAAGCGGCCGCAGGAAGCGGAAGTTATCTCCTTTCCTTTTTCTGCCCGCCGTGTTTTGTTCCGATGAACGTGACGCATTTTTCTGATCAAGAAGAACTAGATCAATCAATGCTTTCATGAAACCTCCCTCCCCGCCACCACCAGATCCGCCAACAACACCGTCTACCTCGTCGACGACAACGCAGACTGGTCGTGCTGCTTTTCGAACCTTTTTCTCGCCGACCTCCACGTTCATTCCCTTTACATTTTCCGTACCGAGTGCATCTCGGATTCTCCCCTTCACCACGTCCTTGCTCCGGTCATCACTAGCGTTGATCTCCAGCACCTCATAGCCTGCTTGTTTGGCACAAACGTGGGCTAGTGTTGTCTTTCCAAGACCAGGAGGGCCGCATAGCAACATTACCTTTCGGTGCGGCCGTTCTTCCTCATTGTTGGGCTTTTTCGGGTTTGACCTAGCCAGGTTCGGATAAACGATAGATTCCCATCCCTTCAGCCAGCGCATGACAGATCGGTGCGTTCGTTCGTCTCCTATGAGCTCGGTAAACTTACGAGCACGATATTTCTCGGTCCACATTATTGTTGCTGCTTTCCTATCTTTCTGGTTTCCCTCTGCAGCTTCAATTGATTGCCGTACTGCGGGGACAGGTGGGGGTCGAGACGTTTTTGACTGTTCGACCTCCTGTGCAGCTTCGTCCATAAGTCTATGGATATCAATGCCATAGTAACTCTTTTGAGCTCTCCCAGGAGCCGTGGTCGAGCGGCCGGCAACAAGCCTTTCATAGGAAACAGGGGCTGCGGTCTTCCTTAGCGCAACATTGTGCGTCTTGCCCGAGCAAGTTGTGATTTGAATCGATAGAGGCTCTCTTCGTGGTAAACTGAATGATGTAGGTACTGAAGTAATTGGAGCGGTGGCCGGAGAGTGTAATGAATCAAGTGTAGATGTAGAAGTCTGAGCAAGCTGTGAGAGATTCACTGGCTCCGTCGGTGCAACAGGCGGTTGCTCGATAATCTGATCTTGGATTTCAAATTGGCTCCGTAGATGGGCATCTCCAAATGCGTCCATCTCATCCTCATCGTCGTCGTCATCCAAGAATCCTCCCATAATCTTCTGCCGCTTGGGCTCCTCCGACTGAGACTCCTCCCCATTCTTCCTTTTCTGCGGGTCCGTCGGTGACGGAGCACTCGATGGAAAGGCGACAGGCGACGATATAAACGGCATCTTGACGACAGGAGGCGAAGACGGTAGAAGTACTAATGGACGAACTGGAGAGTCCACAGTCCCCAGTTGTGACTTTCTGCTAGGTTTCGTCGGAGTTTCTATATCAACCGTCAGAATGCTTCGCATCACCGTTATCCTCCCATGCGATATCATACCTGGCCTTATATCCTCGTCACTCCGAAACACATCCGAGAGATTCCAAGCCCGGTCTAGAATCACAACCTTATTGCGGATATTTTCTCGTCGCTGCAGATGTATAGCCTCGAAATCGTCGGAGAAAGATTCAGATAGCGGGAGTATATCTATATCGTCCGGTCCCTGGGAGTGGAGGTGTATGGCGGGATCAAACGAGGGTGGGAATGACGACGGTGGCGATGTCATTAAAGCGTTCAGGAGATCATTTCATATTTTGATAGTGCTGTAATACCTAATTGACCAGTTTGGTGATACCCTCGATCTTTCCTCTGTATCTGTGGACCGATTAGATGGAGCGAGCGATGCGACGCGCGTGAACGCGCCGACGGGTGCGCGCTAACTCTAAATGGAAGTCAAGTGTATGGCCCCGGGCCAGGCCTGAGTGACGCATGTTTGTCTACAAGTCTATGTACGATAGAATGGACATACTATCGTTTATTATTGATGACTGTTCATAAATTACTGAATAATGGGTTGAACTTGCTCCCTAGTCATAGCATAAAGGTCTGTCTCGCAACGAAAGATGCGATAATGGGGAATATCTCGCTACAAAGATGTTGTATAGATATAGCAACCGTAGCAATTGAGATCTTGCTATAGAAAACTAAATGGAAGGACCTATGTCCGCATATTTCCATGAAACTTCCACATCATTGTCCGTATGGTTAAAAGTGTAGAGCTCCAGCCCTGAAGCACACCACCTATGCGTTGAACACAAGGGTTTACTCACGAAGATCGATACAGGTATAGCGTGTTGTAACTAGGAGTCTAATTGCAATTTCCTAGCGCTAACAATGGATGGTATACTGTATAATCGACTCCGCCCTGGAAGCTCGCATGAGACAAAAAGAAATCATGATACAAGAACACAAAAGCGATAAACCAAACTAAGCCTGGCTCTTCAACTTTTCGGTCAACTCAGGCACTTTCTCGAAAAGATCGCCGACAAGGCCGACATCCGCAACCTGAAAGATAGGCGCATCAGGGTCCTTGTTGATAGCAGCGATAACTTTGCTGTCCTTCATACCAGCAAGATGCTGGATAGCACCGGAGATACCAGCGCAGAGATACAGTTGAGGCGCAACGTTCTTGCCCGTCTGGCCAACCTGCAGACTGTTATCAGCGAAGCCACTGTCAACAGCGGCACGGGAAGCGCCAATAGCAGCTCCGAGCGTATCGGCCAAAGGCACAATCACCCGGTCGAATTCCTCCTTCGACTTCAAGCCACGGCCACCGGACACAACACGGGATGCGGTACCCAGGTCGGGGCGCTCAGACTTGGCAAGTTCCTCAGAAACCCACTCGGTCTGGGCGGGTGCCTTGGGGTCAACCCCCTCAACGATCTCTGCGGAGCCACCCTCAGTCTCAACACCCTGGAAAGCAGTGCCTCTAACGGTGAGGACCTTGATGGGGTCGCTCGACTGCACAGTGAGAATGGCGTTTCCAGCGTAGATAGGGCGGACGAAAGCTGTGTCAACCATCAGCACATATGACTCATCGATAGTGTCGGTTTCTTCAGCCTTCCTTATACGTACTGTCCTCGCTCTCAATTCCGGTGATATCAGACACCTGCTGAACATCCAGCAAAGCTGCCACGCGAGGCAGAAGGCTCTTTCCGAAAGCGGAGTGGCCGCCAACGATATGGGTGTATTCGCCTTTTTTAATGTTCTCAACGAGAAGAGGAGCGTAGTTCTCGGCGAGACCCTAGTTTTCCATTACCGTTAGAAACTACCGATATCGTGATTTCATGGCTACCAAAACCATCTGTAGCGACCTCGTACCTTCTCATAAGCCTCGCTGTCCACGGCCACTACCTTATCCAGGCCCTTAATCTTAGCTGCCTCCGCAGCCGAGGTTCCCTTAACGCCGTTTCCTGCCACAAATGCAGTGACGGGTCCTCCTAGCTTCTGTGCAGCTGCAATTGCGGAGAGAGATGAGGCCTGGAGCTTGCCATCACGCTGTTCAAGGACGGCCAAGGTGGAGAGAAGGCGGGCGAGCGCAGACTGGTTGAAAGCCCGCGGAACGAGTTGGGAGCGGACGGCGCGAAGGGCCGAATGTCTTGCGATCGGGATCATGATGGTATATATTCGAGTGAGTTATGAGAACCTGCTCTGGGCTCTTGTCGGGCTGCCAACGAGTAGGTGCAACTGCATAATAGTGAAGTTCTGCCGACGCTTTTGGCGGGCGGGTGGTTATCGTCGGTCCGCCAAGCACCCGCCGATCCTCGGAGAGCTCGGTTAACTGAGGGCGGTGTCCTCTGCAAAAGTGCATAACATGTGCCTCTGTAAGGCTAGCTACGGAGGACGCATGTTGACCATAGTCATTGTTTAAGGAAACCTTATACCATTGCATTGCTGGAAAAATTCTAATTACAGAGCGGAAATCAAAGCACGGTAGCAACAATAAACTTTTTTTTCTTCAAAGGGTATTGCAAACACGCCCTATTGTCTAAATCATAAAATCGACACACGTGATATCGGTACGCCGCCGGAGAACCTATAGTTGCAATTGACAAATATAATCCATAACACCATAGAAGTAGTATATTATGAGGTCGACTTTCTCTTCTTCTTTCCAGCTTTCGTAGCGGATTCTGTCGTCTTGGCAACGTTGCCATCCTCCAGGGCCTTGGCCTTCTGCTTCTGAAGCTTCTCTTTCCTGGCGGCGGCGTCCTCGTCCTCATCAGCAGCCTTGGGTTTCTTGGACTTCTTATTGCCCTCCAGCAACTTCTCATCCTCTGCATTCTGCTTGCGCTTCTTATTTTTGGCGCCTTCGAGCGCCTTCGCCTCATCATCAGCGGCGCCTTCAGCCACATCACCTTCCTCAACCCACAATTCATTGGCTAGCCAGATCGGCATGGCCATAGTAGTGGCGCCCTTGATGTGAAGGGCCTTGATGTTTCTCCAGCCCTTCGTAATGAACTTATCAGTTAAACCCTGAACAACAGCATCAACGTTCTCAGACAGCTGCTCTGGAGTAAACTTAGATGAACCAATGCGGATGGAGGCGGTAGTGGCGGGAGCCAGCTGGACAGGAGCGGAGTGAAGTGCCTTCTCGATCTCCTTAGCGACAATGGCGGGGGAAGCGAAAGCACTATCTTCTTCTTTCGACTTCTGCTTTGGATCCTTCTTCACCCTCTTGCCATCTTTTTTCTCAACCTTGGCGATCGAAATAGGAATAGGCCGCTTGCTAGACTTGTAGAAGATTTTTCCAAGGGTATTGACCAAGCGCAAAATGATCCGGTCATCCGCCAGAAAGACATCGTGCTCGGACAGGAGTTGTCGCCGACTCTCAAAGCTTTGATATCTGGCCTTCAACTTGGAGTAGCCGATAACCCGGTCAATGCGGGAAGTAAGATGTTCGGGGAAGGAAGGATCGGTAACAATGTTCTTGACCGAGCGCTGAGGGTCGGCGGTGATGAGGCAGACGCTAAGGTTCGAAGAGTCATTCAGGGAGTGTGGGACGGTAATCTTGCCGGGCTTCAGGCGGTTCTTGTCGACAACGTGCTTCTTGGTAGTGACCACGAGCCAGACAGCCTCGTTGTTGAGTGGGGTTTCATCGTCGGACTCGTCGTTGTCTCCAATAAGAGTCTTCTTGGTTGCCGACTTCTCCTTTTCAACCTGTTTCGATTTGATGTGTCGCAAAAGCGCAGAAGAAGCTTTGGAAACCTACAGCCGTGTCGTTAGCTACTGAGATCATGTTTGACATTGGTAACGCAGGGCAATATTGGTTACACACCTGGCTCTTCTCGAGTTGGTAGGGGGACCCGGAGGCCACCTTAGTAGTGACCGCTGTTGAGGTCACCATTTTTGCTAATTTGTGTCGATTGCTGCAGATTTCGACTCGTCTCGAATTCTGCGATAATGGAGAATCAAAAAAATTCACGGGAAGGCGGTGGGCAAATTTGTCCGGTCTTGGCATCGGCCTCGATCATAGATTAGTCATTCATGCTCTCAATGCGGCAGCAGTCAGATATCAGGTCTACTCTTCATGATCGTCGCTCTAGCCTGAACGTTCATTGGAATGTGTCACTCTATGTGATAGACATATACCAAAGTGTATTTTGTGCCCTTGATTACAATTAGAATTAGGATTGATCGGAGTCCCCGTGTTGACAGCGAGACGAAAAAGAAATTAATTAACCAGGCAGCTGGTATGCTAAGCTCGTAGTACAAGTAAATCAGGTGTCAGGAGTAAAAAAAATTGTGACAGGGAAAGAGAGGGAATGTCTCGGATACAGCTCTCAAGCATGCATTGGAATAGAGTCGCTGTTGCCTACTGTCGTCTAAAGTGTACGTGGAGCCCGGAAGCTCGGCTTGTTGACTCCACGAAGGTTTGAGGGAAGATATTAAACCCCGGCCTCTGAATACTCCGCATTCCATGGGCGACTGTTTTTATAGGGCAGAACAGTCCGTGTAGCCGAAATTATATATCTCCATTGAGTTATACACAATCGTGCGTCATGGTTGGATATCAATGCCGAGCTTCGAGGCATGGTACGGCCCCTTATGTGGGGTGCACGTCAAGCTGATGTGTTTGAGAATTGATTTTCGCTCAATGAGCTGACGCTTTATGGAGACTGCCATGATATCTACATGAGAGCAGATCGATATTGTAACAAGGAGAGAAAAAAAAAAAGGCCCTAGTAAATTACGTTGAAAACAACGGGAGGATAACAATATACCGTTTCTACTAGTAGTGTACTCCGTAAAGGTGCAGCGCTCCGAATCCCCACTACAGGCCACCCAATATCCATGGTTCGACCACAAAATCAGCAGAGTGTACGGAGTCAAGGGTACTAAGAAAAACAATCGATTATCAGATGCAAAGTGTTGCACATTATACGGAGCGTAGCCGGTAAATACCCCTGACGACTGATAGCTTCCTTGGTGCCCCACGGGACAAGATGGAGTACGTAACAACGGAAGATAAAGCCACGCAAGTGTGATGCTATTCGCAAACTTTTCGCATGGACTACTATAGGATCACTCCAGAGTTCTAACCGGTGGGAACCGGGATGTCGTCGCTAGTAACATTGAACCATGACGCATACGTATACTCCGTATAGCACTGTCTACGTGCTAAGATTTCATAGGAGAGTGTCGGCACATGGCCAACGCGATAACCATGTTGGGGATGAGAAGAAAAATTCTCCTTAAACCAATTTTTTATTGTCCCATACTTTGCCAAATTGACTAGCGAGACTAGCGAAGTAAAATTGTTGCGACGATGGGTACGTCCACGCCTTAGTTTGGTCCGTAGGGACAAGGACGATTCCTCGGAGAAAAGCGGTTCTGCGCAAAGAAGACTAAACAACGCTTGTATCTCACTTTATCAAGTGCCAAGCGGCTTACATTGGGGGTTTTCAACAGGATCTTCGGCTCACTGTGCGCAGCCTGCCGTGTATGTGTAACTGTTAAGTGGGCACACAACTGGTCTAGAGTGAAGGAAGGTATTTATTCGGCGAGTCTATTGATCTTCGTCCCCACGGCCAGGTCTTAGCACTTACTTGGCACTACACCGACGTTTCCAGCAAAGGCATACAATACCTTCGTATGGCGAACGCCATTGTCTCTCATCATACGGTCAAGCCATTATAGGATGAATTGACGATAGCCTCGGTAGACTCGCGAAATCAGCTATTGAATTTGCCCATGGGTTCGTCGCATGGTCTTTATCTCGAGTGGATGTAGTCTGATTCCGGCCAAGGATCCGGCCTCCTGTTCCTGAGATAAAATAGTGGCTGTGTGGCTGTTGGGTGACAGCTAGAAATCACGTCATGAAGAATCTAAGCTGTCCTGTTGACTACTGCAATCAATTACGATATCGATGCCGTGGCGCTACAAAGAATGATATAAGAATGCTACAAATTCCGCGCCACATGGTTTAAGGGTGGGATCTGCAGGTACGCTCCTACTTATAGGTCGATGGTAAGTACTACTGGGTAGTAGTAGTTCGCTGCTTATCAGCCGACCACGAATATCACTAAAGGATGGACATGGCTATGTAAATCCTTGTTCCATGCAGCATTTGGTCAGATATATATTATAGACATGATCCTAGATAGAAGAATGTAGTGTCTGAGTTGCAGGGTTTGAAGGATACTCCTAGTTCCAGCAAGGGCATAGGTGAGTAGCATGATATGGACATTTTTGTTCTGCAAGGCACTCCGACCTTTCTTTATACTTATGTTATCCACTCTGCAGTAAGTATCCGAAATCCCAGGCACTTTTATGGGGCTGGGCATCCTCGAGAACCCAGGTAATACCCGCCTGTAAGAGACATTCCTACATAGGTATTTGTTTTGTTTTACATTATATCAGATGAGATCTTGCTGCATGTCGGTAAGCCCCAGCCCTTCTTGTTGCCGCATGTGAGATTGGTCAGATATCTGAAACAGTCGCGCAAGATTTTCTATGTCTGTAAAGTGTCCAGTATATCCAGGGTTGTACAGAAGAAAGGATGTGTGATGTGTTCATGCGGGGTCCGTTTGAAAGATGATGATACTTATCTTAGCTCAGCTTCGTGATTTGGTAATTGTCAATATCCTTTTACTCATGTTGTAAAATTAATTGGGTGGCTGACAGCGCACCATGAAGTGTAGTTTTTGCGTAGTAAAAAGGAAAATGATGATAGTAATAACTAGCAAAACAGTTCATTAATGCGTTATCGCAAGGGGTTCAGCAGTGTCTGGGTCTTGGTAACTGGAGATGTTCATGATAAAGAAACGGTAGGTGCTCCGCAACGGAAGTCTAGTCTATTTGGAAGAGCGTTGGAAGCGGAAGATCCCCTATCTCTCTTTTATTTTTTATTTTTATTTCTTCTTTTAACCTTTCCATCCCAATCGTTGCATGGGAGATGATCTGGAAGTCTGCATTGAACGCAGATCCCAGTGGACTCTCTGCCGCGCCAGAGTGGTAATGGTGCGTACAGTGCGTACACATATATTACTACTAGTAGTAAGACGGGTACGGCTACCCCGACGGCTATTAATACATACTCCGCTATAACATACGGAGGACGGTCGAGGCTGGTCGGATTCACTGGGAGAGTAAAAAGCAAAATAATTATGATAGAAAGAGGGCCTTCTGCGATGACTTCCAGACTCTGCCCCTTAATGGGTCTGTCGAGGGCACGTTGCGCTACCGTACGGCCGTGCAGTAGGCAGAATCGATATCATGACCGAAGCAAACACTCGGGGTATTCTTGTTGTTTGATTGCTACGCTCTTTTGGAGAGATTCATTGGCTAACAATGAATAATAGAAAATCAATTAGCAAAATATAGAACAGTCCCTGATAGGTACTCTTCTTCTCCCTAACCATGGAAGGTCGATAGGTAAAAAGGTACCTCAGCCTTGAGGGCTCCTTCAGGAAGCTGCTAATAATACCGGCGGCCCTAATGCAGCCAAACATAACGATCAGACATGAGACATTCCCTGGGTGTCGATTTTTGTGGCAATCGTTTGGGACCTCTGCTCGCGGGTGATTGGTGTACCTGACGGAGGGGAAAGTCAATTTTCCACCAGCCGGTGCATGTGTGACCGTGCTGATTGGCTAGAACGGGCCCAGAGTAATTTCGGCAACCGCCAAGCTTGCATTCAGGAACAGGAAACTTCCAAACATGAAAAGGAAGTCTAAGGGGGAAGAAAAAAAAAGGACAAAATGAACCACCATTTTGCATGGCAGCCTTTTGAGGTGGTATTGGAGAGGTTCCAGACAAGTCCTAGGGAGGAGAGAGGTATTGAAATGGACAATACTAGTCAGGTACTGAAAATTAGTTGGAGATTAGTCAATTAGCCAAACAGCCAACACAATTCTGGGCGGCTGTGGACACGTCTTCCTCGGCGTCCCCCACTTGCAAAGGCCGCCATTCTCAGAGACTCTGATGATGCCCGTGGATGGTGCCTTGGGCCAATTCCTGTGGTGTTTCCACCCCCCTATTCCTCGTATATCCACTTTACGTGTTGTGGTAGGCCAGTTCGACTGTCGATGTGTACCTATATCGGGACGGTACGGTACGTACGGTACGGTAATACTCCTAAACAACAACTCTAAATACAATGTCTTGAGTCTTGGAAGTGGAACCCCTATTATTATTATGGTGACTATTGCCTCTCTCTCTTTGTCTGTCTGCCCATCACTGACAGTGCCACACGCGCACACACACACACACTCTCTCTTTAGTTTAGTTTAGTTCCCCCTGGAAGGGTCTGCACGTCTTGTCCCTCTTTTAGCCCCTGGGCGACTGACCGACGAAGTTTAATTCTCTCTTTTCATCTCCCTCCCAACTCCCTCTGCTCCTCGCGATCCTCCACATTTTACTCCTCCTCCTCCCCCAGAGCGTTTCATTTCTTCCGCTTTCGCCTGTTGACCTGTTGAAGTTTCCCATCCGACCAGAGAGACTTGTTTCTCTCTCGCACACTCATTTGGAAACCTCGTCCGTGATTCGCTCCTTGGACACTCATAATTCACTTCGTGCCTCTATAAGATTTACAGCGACAGCACTTCTGCAACTTCGACCTCTGTACAGACCTTGACCGAAGCGCGCACCGGGTTTTGCTGTATCGTTGATGTATGTATCTACATCCCAAAAAATTGATGGACACCCCCTCCAAAATTGCTTCTCGCCTGGACTACTGTCATCGTTCGCCGAGGTGCTCGGAACGTTTGGTGGCTATGGGCTGTGCTTCCGATGTCGCATACTGACCTACTGCCGCCACCAACGTCTCTATATTGTATGGCAGCATGCGTGGATCAGCGACATGACGCGCGATCTATTCACATGTGACTCGGCAATTGGCTCATTGATATGCGCAAGCTAACTAGTGTTCTTCATCAAAATAGTCAGAACCCGAAACCAATTATTGAAGGACTCCGTGGTTAAATTTCCAACTTGATACAAACGCGATGAAGTTCAACTCTGTTGCTCTCACCTTGGCGACGGCTGGTTCCCTCGTGGCCGGTCAACATCACAACGCCCACCGTCATCACCACAAGCGTACCGTTGAGACTCAGCTCGTCGAGGCCGACGGCTCCACTGTTATCCAGTACGAATATCAAGGCCAGGTGGTCTCCAGCGACTTTGTGTGCACTGGTATCCGAAAGGGAGAGCTGAGGTACAAAGAGGGCCAACCCGTCGTTGATGCCTGCCAGTCTAGCGCTCCTGCCTCATCCTCATCCTCTTCCTCTTCCTCTACTCTGGCAGCAGCGCCAACCGAAGCACCAGCTGAGTTTGTGGAGACTTCCCCCTCCGCCACTCCAGCTTCGTCCTCTAGCGCCTCTGCAACCTCTTCGTCTGCTGCTTCCTCGAGCACCCCCACTAAGTCGAGCAGCTCTGGTGCTAAGGGCTTGGATTCCGACTTCCCTGATGGAGAGATTGACTGCGGTACTTTCCCATCTGACTATGGCGCCGTCGCTCTTGACTACCTGGATCTCGGTGGCTGGTCTGGTATTCAGTATGTAAGCCTCGCTGGCAAGGTTGTGAGCGACATCGTCACTGCTGTGACTGGTGACAAGTGCTCCACTGGAGCCATGTGCTCGTACGCCTGCCCCGCTGGTTATCAAAAGTCTCAGTGGCCCAGCACCCAGGGCGCCACCGGCCAGTCCGTTGGTGGCCTCGAATGTAAGCTGGGCAAGCTCTACCTTACTAACCCCACCCTGTCCAAGAAGCTTTGCATTGAGGGTGTTGGTGGTGTTCATGCTCAGAACAACCTTGGCGAGGAGATTGCCATTTGCCGTACTGACTACCCTGGTAAGTTTATTCATGAAAGCATGCCGGTATAGGAATCATTCTCATCGTTGCGTGCAGGTACCGAAGCTGAGACCATCCCTCTCGCCCTTGGTGACAATGAGCTTCAGCCCTTGACTTGCCCTGACGGCGCAACCTACTTCAAGTGGGAGGGCAAGGTTACCTCCGCTCAGTACTATGTTAACCCCAAGGGTACCAGCACGAAGGAGGGCTGCCAGTGGGGTGACGGCTCCAAGCCTATTGGTAACTGGGCTCCCATCAACCTTGGTGTCGGTGAGAACAATGGCAAGTGGCTTTCTATTTTCCAGAACAGCCCCACTACCAGCGTGAAGCTCGACTTCAACATTAAGATTCAGGGTGACAACCTCAGCGGATCTTGTAAATACGAGAACGGCAAGTTCACCTCTGAAACCGGCAGCAATGACTCTGGCTGCACTGTAAGACCCCTTTCCTTATCTTTACACTCGAGATGCCCTCACTCACATGGTTATCCAATGACAGGTCCAAGTTATGTCTGGCGACGCCACCTTCGTCTTTTATTAAATACCCTGACGATCCTGCATCGCCGCAAACGGGCACATCCGCTATGTGACTTGGCCACCATCAACCGGCTCGACTGGCCTGGGTAAATAGATCGCCGGCTCCTTTCATGCCATGCTCGCCTTCATGATCTGAAGTCCAGTTGCTTGCTTTCTTCTGTGTATCTTAGTATATTACATTACGTGACGTAGGGAGTTTTGATTCTCGTCACACTTTACCGTCTTTACCACTTGGTAGAGACGATTGTGGTTAGATATTTCTTTCTCTAGTGCCAAGTAACTCATTGTGGTTTTTATCTTTGTACATGCTTATTACGCAAGAATGGTTCACATTTTTTTCATTAAAATGGTGTCATGTAGTCGTGGAGTTTTCGTGGCGTAGACTGGCTGAAATTACGGAGTATGTAACAAATCTTTAAATATTCCAGACGACGGACTATCTGGGTGCTGTACGGAGTCGCGTGGTCCAGATTAACATAAGAAATGTCTCCTACCGTGCAAGCCCTTCATGGATTGGTTGCGCTTGCTCTAATTGAATTCTACTCCTTTGGCTAGGGTTTACCGTACTATTCGGTGAGAAAGACGTAGGGAGAACAGAACCATGCACAATGGCAGGGAGTCGGGTCAAATGTATTTGGTGTACCCCGTACGCCGTCTCGATTCCTCGAATCGACGATGGCCACACATTTGAGAAACTTTGCTGTAGATCACCGCAGTCCAACTTACCTTACCTTCTTCTCTTTTAATTTGGTTCTTTTCGATTTACATCTTTGGCCTTTTATCTATAATTTGAGTGGACTGTTGTGACGGTCGGTGAGTGCCTCTAGCTTGAATTGAAATATGGAAACGCGAAGGCTGGGCGTCGAGATATCCGGACCGAGTCAGTCGCGTGCATGCATACCTATGTTTCGAGTAATGATAGTACCGAGTACCTTCAGATAAGTTTTCCCCTTCAGGGTTGCAGGCGGGACGCGTATGTAGGGTCAATGCTTTACAGTGAGGGAATATCCTGGAAAAGAATGCCCATGAAAAGGTCCAAGGCTTGCAGCATTGTCAATTATGCCAGAGGTGATTGATTGAACCAGTTTTTATCCCGCGGAACCCCTCCTTCAAATTCTTCTGTACTCCGTACGTATTTTGCAATCGTAGTAGCCTCATACTCCACCGGCCGAGGTCCTGTCACCACCACCGTGCATCGTGCCGTCCAATGAGATGGGCGAAAACCCTGCAAGCTGCACATGGCCTTTGCTATTTTCGGCAAAGTCACTGCAGGTCTTTGCGGGTACGCACCCACGTGATCTGGCGCGAGTCACGGGATTGGACCCAAAAGAACGCGGAGCACATGACTCTAGACGCGGGGACGCGCCTTTCTGCCTCGGGCATCTATCTAGAAAACGACGGGGCGAGAGAGTTATAGCCCATCAGGTGTTTGCTGGAATCATCTCCTGTTCAATTTTTATATTTGCAGGTCTGAAAATTCCCGTATAGAGATGCAGTGCAAAACAGAGTTCGAGATGGCCAGGCTCTGAGGCTGCGCGACGTCCGTGGTGGAGCTCGCAGACCCTCGCCGGCGCCTATCGAACGCGTCTCGGGCTGTAAGCGTGCATTTCCGCGCTGGACGAGAGACGCTCCGTTCCGGTAGGCATTCCACCACACACTCACCCTTTTCTTTAATGCTCTTCATTCTTTTGTAGGCCAATTCTGTGCCTCCCAACCACCTGGGCTTCGTTCTGGGAGAAGAATTGACGTCCAATCTCTTACAGTCACACGTCTCCTTCATCTCTTCTTTTTCGACCTGCCTTTCTTGTCTCTCGACTCGTCCGCTATAGAAATAGCCCGCCCCTACACGGCCTCGACGCGACCTCGAATTGATTTTTGTCCGCCCTAGACTTATTCAAGGTCATCGAAAACTTGCTAACTATCTGGGAGACGCCTCTCACATCATGGAGTCTTCTCCTCCAAGGAGCAGTTCGACTGCTTCTGTGGCAGGTGTGAAGCGTCCAGCGACCTTGTTACCTGCCTTTGAGCCATTGAGTTCTTCGCCTTCTCTTCCTCGACCCCAGAAGCGTGTAGCTCGCGATGATCATGGGATTGTATCAACATATCCAACTCCTGTTCCGACGTCATCGACCCATATCATGTCCTCCTCACCCCCTCGAATGGCTTCGCGTCGACCTTTGACATCATCAAATTCCGAACGCACCCCTCTGTCCACTGTACCGACCATGATGCTTCCGGAGACTGGGGAGCCACTTCTCATGGGCAGATCCAGTGCATCTTGCCATCATCAACTCGCTGCCAACCGCATGATTTCGAGGGTTCATGTCAAGGCTACCTATAAGCCTGCACCTAATCCCTTCGATCGTGATAGAGTTGAGATAATGTGCATGGGTTGGAACGGGATCAAGCTTCATTGCCAGGGGAAAACGTATGACTTGGCCAAGGGAAAGACTTTCACGTCTGATATCAAAGATGCAGATATCATGATTGACGTCCATGACGCGCGTGTTTTGGTCCAATGGCCGCGAAATGAACGAAAGGACTACGCATCCACCGATTCTGAGCAGACCTGGGAAGAGGCTACCCCACGACGTAACCGACAGTCTTGTCGAAGCTTGCATGACAGTCCTAATGTGGAACGCCAGCGCTTGGCTTCCCCTGTCTCGCCTTCTCCTGCAGTCAAGTCACTCGTTCCGCCATCCTCGCCACTGTACACTCCAACACGTGCAAGAAACGCCGTGGTTGTTTATGAGGATGAACCGTCTCCCGTCCGCCGTAAAAGCTCAGGGGATACTTTGCTGTCTGAAGCGAGCCTTAAGCCTACCTCCAGTGTAGGGGACCTTTTGCAGAGCTCGCAATCAAGTGACTTGAGTGATCTCAGTAAGCCTGATGATTTGTCGGACCACGATGAAGAGAATGACCCCATCGTTCATTCTTTTGGGCCCTTTGGAGACAATATCTTGCCCCGCATGGCTTCCTTCACTGCTGATGGATCACCACTGTGCCCTTCGCGTCCTCGTAACCAGTTCCATGCTGAACTACTCCGCCCTACTCACTCTCCTAGACAACCATCTAAGACGGCCGAGAGGGTAGATCTTGTACTAAGCAAGCCACTTGATGAGAGCTTTGAGAGAGTGCAGAATCATGCTATCAATCAGCTGGCCTTCTCTCGCCTTTCTTCAACGCCCTTCTCGACAATTTTGAATAACCTCCCACCCTCCCTTTGGAGGCGGGATACACATTCAAGGGAAGGACCTACACGGGATGAGATTCGGGCCATCATTGATACCACGAAGTGTATTGGAAAGGTCGCTCGGGAAGGGAAGGATGCTGCAGGAAAACCGCTCGAGAGTGAATACTACTATATTCCTGACTATGATGATGATACGATGCGACGAGAAGCTGTGGTGCATGATCTCAGGAAGCCAGGTCTTCGGAGCTGCCGAAAGCAACACAAGGTATGCGCGCATGATAACAAGGACTTGCTGATACATGGCTAATCTTTAGCAGCAATACTTCTGGCGTAAACCAAAATGAATCAAGTGACTGGAGGCAAGCTACCTTCACTCGAGAATGAGCCGCAAAAACTCTCTGGATGGTTCTTGTTCTTAGTACATAGTTGCAATGACTCTTTCCTTCTCTTCTTTTTTTCCTTCTGGACTCGCATAGCGTGGCGTGGCATACCCTGTCTGGTTTTTGTTCTATGAAGGTGTACGACGAACGGTGAATTTTTTTTTTCTTTTGCACGCCTTGCCTTACGCTGCTTACGATGAGCGCCTGAGGCAATGTGCTGTTGTCCCCATGGGACGTCCACCCTCATTCCGTGGTTGATCATCCTGACTACCATGTTAGTTCTGGTCTTTACTGGAGTTGTTGTATCAACAGTGATGACCTTTTTTTTTTCTGTTTGTGGAGGTGCCGTCTATTCACATGCCTGTATGACTTGATTTGGATTCTTATCCTGCCAGTGACATGCTGGTGTATTGTATTCCACCAACTTTGGACACAGTTATGATGTATGTTAACAGAGTTTCTTTATCGACACAAAAATATCTAGTTCGTTTTAATTTTAGACTTTTATATGCACTCTGAAATCCCTACTTGCCTCTGTTAATGTGTCCAGGCACCACTTGCAAGACACGCAGCAAATCCTCTTCCAGATACTCCACACCCTCGATGCCTGCACTAAACCGAATCAAATCATCATAGGCCTCACCCTCTACGCGCACTTCTCGAGACATCGCCTTATGTGGCATAGTCGCAGGGACCTCACAAGCTCGGGGCGCCACCCAAGCTCTTTGCAACGGTGAACAACCTTGACATCTCACAAAACCTCCCCACCGCTTCACTTCCACCACGGGTCCAGAACTAGATCATTTCACCACCAAAACCAACGCGATGTTACTTAGCTGCAACACCGCGCTGCGGAAGACTAAAGCTACCTGAATAATTAGCAGACCGTCAAGGGGCTTGGCCTGGGCACTGGTATTGCGAGACCCAGCGCGAGCCCGCAGATGCACGGTTTTCCCGCCGCGGTGCGCAAGCCAACAATCAAAGGGACTGGGGGCAGTACCCACTGTGTTCTGACCGAATGACAAGGTCTTGTATACATCCGGATTATTAATCGATATCGCACCCATCACTTAGTTCAAGTAAACCAGGGAAGGACACCATGTATATTGATATGCCTCTTGACAGCATGTAGGCAGATATCTGCACCACACATCAGCGGCTTTTGGATATAAGGTGATAGGAATGTGTGATCAGCCGACGATTGCTTTCTCGGAGCTCTAGTGATTAGGGATGGTGGAGAGTGAGTAGGAGGCTGTGGGGGTTTGTGATGTGCTTTTAGGCGGAGGCTGTGACTAGGGAGACTTCCGTCGTTTATATTAGACATGTGTTATAGGATGGGAGGTGGAGAGAGTATATTGACTGGTTCTATTAGGGCTTCCGTGATAGGCAAGCCGGAGTCTGCCGGATCGAACAGCGCCAGTCTCAAAGCCG